CCTTGGCGAGTCTCACGTGCGTGTACGGCCGAACGGCGGAGTGTCGGTACCGAGCACGTGCCCTCGAAGGTCGTGCGCGGACCGACCGCCGGGGGCGATCAACTGGCTCAGCCTGAGCCCCGACGGGCAGCGCCTGCTGACGGGCAGCGAGGACGGCACAGCCCGGCTCTGGAGCACCGCGGACGGCCAGTGCTGCGCCCTCCTGCAAGGTAGACCCGCCTGACCGCGCGCGTCCTCCGACCTCTCGCTCTGTCCCCTTCGCCTGCACGCCTGCCTCAGCCCTCAGCTCTTCCGGCCGCAGACCCCTTCCCCAGAGTCCAGCCCGCGCCCATCGCGCACGCTCGTGGCAGAGCGCGCGGGGTTGGGTGGGCGCGCAGAGAGGGCAGCGATCGGGGTCAGTGAACCGTGGGATGCCGCTGCGAGGGCGAAAATCACTTGCCAACCGCAGCATAAAATCGTTTCCATCATAGCAGTTTTAAGAAACAAAGAAATCTCACCTCTGTCCCTGACTCACTCAGCAGCGCCTTCCCTCGTCTCTCACTGGCCTTGTGACTTGTGGCCGGACATTTCCTCTCTCGGGGCCACTGGGGTAACAACCGAGGCTCGTTAACTGCCCTGGGCGCTACAGAGTGCAGTCCTCACTCACGCTGTATTGCTCTTGTCCCACTCGTGCAGACAGGGTAACTGAGGCAGGGAATAAGTGGCTTGCTTTCGCAGCTGGTGGGGCTTGTTGAAATTTGAACCCCCCTCCCCCACCCTGCCCTGTTCTCTCTCTGCTTCGTTCCGTCTGCAGTTTGGCGTGTTTGGAAACTCCATGAACTAGCGGGAGGTGTACGTATGGTTTTACAAGAGTTCTGCAGATGCACCCATGCCGATTTCTTTTTGTGTGCTTCCTCGTGGAGAGGTGGCTGCTTTTCTTACCCCGGGTCCCTGTCACGTGCCTGCAGCGTGGGACTGAGGTGCCGCCATTGGTGTCTGAGTGGCCTGCATAGCCCCTTGAGGAGGACCAGGCTTCTCGCACTGTGTGCTTGGTTGTTTCTCATGGTTGGTTTTTCCACCATAATCAGCAAATCCTGGGTGGCCTCCCCCAGGCCTCCCAGCTCCTGTAGGCACAGAGAGTAAATTATCTTCAGTATTGCCTGATCCTGACCCTGCTGGTTTTAAATAAAAGCAATTATGGGAGATACTTCAAAGCCCAATAGGAATGAGTTTTGGATTGCCTGCTCCTTGGGAGCTGGTGCAGATAATGGGGAGTTGGCCACCACACGCAGATAGTCACACACACTGACGGCATAGATCTGTCAGAAAACTTAGATCCAACTTGTATTGCTTCCCAGACATGAGACTTTAATCTAGAGGGCTTTCAGAAATGCAGGTTCTCAGGTCCCAGTTTCCTACCACCCATGGCGTAGGTCTCTAGAATTGCATTTCTAACAAGCGGGAAGATAGCTCTGATGATCTGCTGGCCCAGGGAGCTCTGGACTGGGACCCATTGTGGGAGCCCAGTTTGTAGGCCAGTTTCCACCCTAGGAAGCTCCAGTCCTTTCCAGAGTGGTTCTGGCCTGGTGGGCCCCTGGCTCTGCCCCCAGGACCACCCTCCTGCCCAGCCCTGTGCCTGGCAAGCACCCTTCACACTCATTTTAGTGGCCCTCATGGTGGCTCGTCCCCCTCGAACACCAGCATCTGCTTCCTAGTGAGGCCACACTTGACCCTCTGGTGCCCTAGTTGTGGGCCACCCCACTCAACAGGATGCCTCTATCAAACTGAGAAACTGCTACCCGTTTCTGCCAGGATCGTTTCTTCTGTTCTAGGGTTCGCATTTCAAGAAGTTTCAAGGACAGAAGGGACAAAAATTACCTTTCCTTATCCTGAAATTGTACTAATAGACTTGATTTGTGAGTCATTTTGGGCGTGTGATCATCCTTGTCTGGCCCCCAAAGAAAGCAAGGGCTTGCCAGCTCCCCCCATAGGATTTTTTTTTTGTATCAGTGAAATATTAATAAAAGTCTTGACATTTTATAAATACTCTTTAATTAGTGCCTTATGTCTTATAAATACTCTTCTAAGTACGTATTTCTTTTTGTTTGTTTGGGTTTTTTGGGGGTGGGGGAAGTAATTAGATTTATTTATTTTTCATGGAGGCACTGGGGATTGAACCCAGGACCTCGTGCATGCTAGGCACATACTCTACCGCTGAGCTATACCATCTCCCTAAGTACATATTTCTTATGTTATTAACCCTCGTCACTGTGAGGTGGATAGGGTTGACGCTGGTTTATAGATGAGAACAGAGAAGTGCAGATTATTTATCAACACACAGAGCATTCTAAGCGTTTTCTAGACATTCAGCTCGTGAGGCAGGTGCTGTGGTCAACATCCCTGACACACAGTGTGGTTGCGCAGCTTGTCCAGGGTCACACGGCTGGTCGGTGGCAGAAGGGGCTTCTTGACCACTGTGTGGCTCCTGTTCTTGCTGGGACAGAACAGGAGGGAGATGTGCTCTCCTGAGGCCTCATGGCTGATCACTGACAGCCCAAACCCTGGATGTCTCCTGACTCCAGATCCAGGCTCTTTCCACTCCCATTCGGGTGGAAACTGCCGCATGCAGGTGGGTGCTCCCTCTTTGTGCTGCTCTGGGCCCACAGACGGCTGCAAAGAAGAGCTGGTTGGTGGGTCAGGCCTGGATGTCTTGGGCAGAGTGGCTGTGGTTGGCAGCTCCCGCCTGTGTTTTCCTCCTGAGCTTCTTGCTCAGCTTGCAGCGGATGCTATAGTCAGGTTACAATGTTGTGTCAGTTTCTGGTGTGCAGCATAATGTTTCAGTCATACGTATACATATATTCCTTTTCATATTTTTTTTCATTATAAGTTACTACAAGATATTGAACATAGTTCCCTATGCTATACAGTAGAAATATGTAGTAGTTTGTATATGCAAATCTTGAACTCCCAATTTATCCCTTCCCACCTCTTTACTCCTTGGTAATCGTAAGTTTGTTTTCCATGTCTGTGAGTCTGTTTAGGTTTTGTAAATAAGTTCATTATGTCTTTTTTTAAGATTCCAGGTATGAGTGATATCATATGATATTTTTCTTTCTCTTTCTGGCTTACTTCACTTAGAATGACAATCTCCATGTCATTTTATTCTTTTTATGGCTGAGTAGTATTCCATTTGTGTAAATATACCACAGCTTCTTTATCCAGTCATCTGTTGATGGTCATTTAGGTTGTTTCCATGTCTTGGCTATTGTAAATAGTGCTGCTATAAACATTGGAGTGCATGTATCTTTTTGAATTAAGGTTCCCTCTAGATATATGCCCAGGAGTGGGATTGCTAGATCATAGGGTAAGTCTAGTTTTAGTTTAGTTTTTTTTTTTTTGAGGAATCTCCGTACTATTTTCCATAACAGCTGCACCAAACTGCATTCCCACCAACAGTGCAGGAGGGCTCCCTTTTCTCCACACCCTCTCCAGCATTTATCTTTGGAACTGGCTTTCAAATGTAGTTGGTGAGCTCACCATGAAAAAGCAGGTTTAATTGCCAGTTAGTCTGTAAAGGGAAGAATTGTTTTTAATGAGATTCTTCCCCTCCTCCTCTTTTTCTCTTCTATCCTTTGGGTATCCTTTGGTTTATTTGAGGCACTTCCCTACGTCAGTGGGATAAGCAGCCTTTCCCCAAATGGCAGTTCCTGTCCTGGTCTGTTCTCAAGGAGTGAGGGACCCAGCCTGAGGTTCCCGCCCACTGTGGCTGTCCCCCAAAAGCCTCCTCATCTTCTCAAAGCATCTTCTAACATGGTGGGGGTCGTGCTTGTTTGCAGTTCCGTGTGGACAGGCTACACGCTCGTATCCACTGCACACCTGGTGAGTGCCTGCCCGTCTGGATGACTCTTACTTACTACCGGGAAGCAGGAAGGGCCATTACTTGTCAAGAGCCTGGGCTCTGGGGCCAGGCTGCTTGGGCTCAAATCCCATTACATAACTCCTCATGCCTCAGTTACTTTATCTGTGAATTGGGGATGATAACAACAGTAACCCAGCCTCATAAGGTCATGGTGGGCGTTAAACCAGTTAATAAGCAGTTCCTAGCTCGTTGTATTAGTTGTCTTATCCTTTGAGCCTAAACGGAGTAACAGCATCCTGCTGGCCCCACGCCAGCTCCAAAGCTTTTCCTCATTTGCTTCTCGTGACCCATTATTGTCCCCATTTTGTAGATGAGGAAACTGAGTCTCTCTTGCGTGCTCTGCTCTTCCCTCCTGGTCCAGAGCCCTTTCCCCCTCGCCTGCCTGTTAGCTCAACTGTGCTGGGCGCCTGTGTCAGATTCAGAGGGGCAAGAGTCTCAGATCCCGCCCCAGGGAACTTGCAGATAGGACTGAGCGAATGGTTGCTAAGCTGAGGGGCTGTGTGCACTTGAACTTCAGATGAGCAGGAACTCGGTGAGCTGGGGTTGTCAGGGTTCACCTCTTGGCCAGGTGAGTGGGACAGGTGGGACAGGTTTTAATTATAATAAAAAAGAAAACCTCACATGACATACAATTGACCATCTTAGCCGTTTTTAAATGTACTTCACAGGTATTAAACGTTCCTAATGTTGTGCGGCCATCACCACCATCCGTCTCTGGGACTTCTTCATCTGGCGAAACTGAAACTGTCCCCAGTGAATAACCCCGTGCCTGTCTCCCCAGCCCGGGCACCCGCTGTTCTCCTTTCTGCCTCGATGAGTCTGACCCCTCTAGGTAGCTTGTGGACTCATGTATTCTTTGCCTTTTTGTGACTGGCTCATTTCACTTAGCACAACATCCCCAAGGTTGTAGCATGGGTCAGAATGTCCTTCTTTTTAAAGGCTGGATACTGTTCTGTCGCATGGATCTAATGTCTCTTCTTTGTACATCATCCATGGACACGTGGGCTGCTCCAACTTGTTGACTGTTGTGAATGATGTGCTGTGAACATTCCAGGCCCTGCTTTTCATTCTTTGGGGTATGTACCCAGAAGTGAGACTGCTGAATCACCTCGTGCATATTTTTAAAAGGGCGTGTGGGAGCATAGGGGAGGCTCTCAGACATAAACAGATTGTTACTAGCTTTGTCCCGGTCAAGGGAGAATTCCATCAGTTTGTTTTAAATATGGATGTGAAGGAAGCCCACGCTGGTAATTCATTCTTCAGCTCTGCAGAGACCGCTGTCTAGGGGAGGTGAGCACCCTTGTGAGTGCCGATTAGGGAGGATGAAGATGGAGGCAGGAGGGCAGTTTGGTCAAGGTCGTGGGGCCAGAGAATCTGGGCTGAGGACGGGCCCTGCGGCAGCAGCAGTGACAAGAACATCAGCCTGGGCTGGGAGCTGGGGGGCAGGTGGCCCAAGGCTGAGTCCTCAGTGGCTTTGCTGCACTCTGTCCACTCCAGCCAGAGCCTCCACGCTCAGACTACAGCTCTAGCAGGTAGGCCCCAGTAGGAAACAGAACAGCACCTGGAACCGGTAACTGAGGAGAGTCTAACAAAGGGATGCTTGGAAAATGTGGGCAGAGTGCGGGGACCCACAGTAGCTGTGGCCAGGACCAGCGGGGCTGTCGCCGTCCTCAGGCCTGCAGGAGGGAGGGTGGGGGCGGTCACTGCAGCCCAGAAACTGCTGTGCTGTGGGGAGGGCTCCCTCCTGGGAGGCGTGACTGCGGTTTGGGGGCCTCGGCCAACATTTCCTAACCCAGAGACTCCTTCTGGGGCTCTGACTGTCTGAACCCCGTGGGCAGTGGGGGTCAGGGAGCCTGCAGTGGGCTGGGGAGCTGCAGGGAGCAGGCTGGAGAAGAGGAGGGGGACCCCTGGGGCAGAGGGAGAGGAGGCCCCGCTTTTCATGCTGAGTGGAAGGGCGTGTGCAGCTGGCCAGGCGCACTCCAGGCCCCCGACCCCCGCGGACCCTGCTCTCCAGCGCTCGGAGCTGCTCCCGCACGCGGAGGGGACACTTTGACTCTAAACCTCCAGCCAGTCCGAGGGTGCAGGAGCGGACAGGCAGGGAGGGCCGACTACCCTGGCAGGAAACCCTGAGCCTCAGCGTGTTCTTTTGAACATAATAACCACATTTTATCTGCATTTTTCATCCCTTCAAAAATATTTATTTTTAGATTGGCTTTTTTGCTTATTCCGCATAATTCCAACAGCTCATGGCCAAGGCACTGTGGTCCCTGGAGACGTCCCGGGCCCTGCCTCCCCTAGCCCTCCCTCCTCCATCCCCATCTCTCGCTTGGGTTTTCAGGTGTGAGGTGGGCGTCTGGCGCTCAGGGGAAGGGGCTTGTAGAGGGCAGAGCCTTGCCCTGTGCAGGGAGCACCAGCCAGCTTAGGGCCAGACCCCTGGGAGCGCAGAGGGGCGGCTGCCCTGCTTCAGGGAGGAGTTTTTTACATTGAAAAACAGCTTTTCGTTATCACCTCTTTTCGTCCAGTTTTTGTTTCTATGTGTTTATATTTCTGTCGCTTCTCAATCAGTGTACATATCCTTTTTTTTCCTGCTGCATGTCAGAAAAGCTGTCCGACTCTCATGTCTTTCGAGTCCCTGGTTAATGGCTACAGTGTCATCGAGGAGAGATGCCTGCTTTAGTTTTCAGTGCTTTCCATGGCCTGATTGACACATCCACTTGGTTCTCTGCCTTCCGTTGTCAGATGCTGTTGAGGTGGGACAGAAGCAGCCGGGGGGTTTCCCAAGAAGGAGCCTCTCCTGGCCTGGGTGGGTGCCAGGGACTGCAGGACGTGTGCCTGGTTGCCCTCGGGACACCCTGGCTACCTCTGGCCACCTGAGGATGCCGGGTGCCCCTCACCCAGGGCTGAGCCCTCCTGGCGACAGATCTGGTCTCAGGGAAAGCTCGCTGACAATTTTCAAATATTTTACAAACATTTTGGGGTTGGCGAGGAGCTAGGCTGCATTTTGCCAAACACATTTTGCCCTCGACTTTTAAACTGACATGCACTTTCAGGGAAACACCCTGCAGTCTCTTCCAGTGTTTACTTAATTCACATAAACGTTGTTTTCTTACGGGCCTGGTATATGCTATCCAAGAAGATAGAAAAATGTTTCTTTCTTACTTTTTAAAAAAAATTCTGTTTCTTAGAACCCAGGAAGTTGGGTTCTTCCAAGAGTAACTAAGCTTATACCCAGGGCCAAAAAAAAATTTGTGAATCAGCTTGAAACTGCCCAGGAGATTCTAAATCCCCATGTACCTGATACCAGACATCTAGATGAAATTTTTAAATCCGATCAAAATCCTTAACATAATAAATACATCCCTCACATGTGTTATTATTTGAATTCGTCAGTCTCCTCGTCTGTGAAATGGCTCTTAGGTTTAACATTCTTTTGATTCTGTTGATTTTCTGGTCCCTGAATTCTCCTTAAACAGAGTCAGCTTCAGTTTTTCATCTAAAGTGGTTATCCGAGATGCAAACATCTTTACTTGAAAAATAGGCCCTGCTGTGTTGGGGACCCTTGCTCTCTATACTTTCTGCCTCTGTAACATGAGGTTTGTTGAATGACTGAGTGAATACAAACAGCTGAAAAGACTGAAGAAGATGATGAAGGAGTGCGTGGAAGACGAAGGAACAGAAGGATTCCAGGGCAGGCTGAGTGCCCCCGGAATTGCTTCTGGCTCCCCCACAATTCCTGAGACTCCCAGATTTAAATCATCATTTCCAAGTGCTGGTCGCTTCTGGACTTGCCTCCAACACTCCTGCTTTCTTCCCTTCCTCCCCATCTCAGACATTCTCTAAGAGAACTGGGAGCTGGCAGTTCCTGGGATGCTCACATCTCCCCTCGTCTGCAGGACACGAAAGCTATGTGACCTTCTGCCAGCTGGAGGACGAAGCCGCCTTCACGTGCAGCGCTGACTGCACCATCAGGAAGTGGGATGTGCTGACTGGGCAGTGTCTGCAGGTGTTTCGGGGACACACGTCCATTGTGAACAGGTCAGCGTGGCCTGGGGGCTCCGGGCTGCCGGGCAGTGAGGACTCGGCCTCTCCTCACAGTACCTGGCTGAGTGGGACCCCTGCTCTGGAGGAACTTAGCTTCTCTGGGGAACATTTGTGGACACGTAGGGAGGTGGTGCAGGTAGAGGGTTGGGAGGCGCAGGTTGGGGAAGGGAGGCGCAGGTGGGGGAAGGGAGGCACCACCAACACCTTGACTAGTGCCAGGAAGCCCTCCCTTGGCCCTGGCAGCACACCTGCCCCCAACTGGGCACAGGGAAAGTCATTGGAGGCTGATGGGAACAAATTCCAGAGGAAATGGCTTAATTGGTACCCGATGGTGGACCAGGGGCTTGGAGGAGGAGCCAAATGGGGATTGTTCTGCAGAGGGAGTCAGGGTATTTTTAAACTTCCCTTCCATGTGGCTGCTGAAAATCTCCCAGCCCCTCCTTCCCATGGAGTTTTGAATTTTTCCTTTCCTTATTGAGTTGGGTCTGAGCTGAGCCATGGAAATTCCTTGCTGATCAGATCAACTTGACATTTCTGTAACTTGGGGCGTCTCAGACTCCTAAGGGAGTGCCGGGTGTGAGCAGGAGTCTGGGCACCCCCCACTCCAACCCCGTGGGGGCCTCGTGGCCTCACTGGCTAGGAGGGGCACCTGCTGGGAAGTTAACTAAGCCAGGAAGGGGCCCATGGAGGTGAGGTGGGCATTTGAGTGGGGGGTGGGGGAAGCAGAGAGGAAAGGATGTTCTCCGCCAGAGGGGATGCTGCCAACAGAGCTTTGTGATATCTGGGCCCAGGTGCGACCCATCTGGCCTAATGGTCCAGCGCACGGTGGGTGGAAGCAGTGGGCCAGACTGCTCATCAACCCACTGTAGTACCAGCTGCCCCCAGTCAGAATGGGGCACCCACAGGGCAGGAACGAGGTCACATCCTTGTGCGGAGGTGCAAAAGCGTCCTGTTGACTCAGGATGGTTCTCACTGGAGAAGCACCACAGTGGGGATTCCATAGAGCTCGGCACTGCCCCACCTTCCTGCAGCTGAGCTTTTATCCACCCCCCAGCCCCACCCTCTTAGCTAGAGCAGGTGAGGCCCGGGGACCTGGGAGACCAGGACCAAGCAGGCAGGTGGTGGAGGAGGGCTGCGGTGAGGACTCGGGACTCAGGTCCTGCTGGCCTCTTCTCAGCACTCTTTCTTGAGAAAGTTTATAACTATGGAAAGGTGTGGGCATGGGGGCGTCTCCTTTTGTGAGGCTGTGAGCGACTGGAAGGGCTGACAGAGGATGGGGAGGTGGGAGAAAGCCCCATCTCAGGTGACCAGCTGGCCCTCAGGTTGCAGCTGAAAACTGATCAGCTGCGCCTCAAAAGTAAATCTGGACAATTAGGGCTAGAAATTATGCTCTGCCAGGTTTAGACTCCCCCAAGCGCACACACAGCATACACACGTGTTCACACTCAAGTTCACACTCATGTGTGCACACACACACACACACACACTACTTTTGAGCAGTTGACTGTTCTCAACAATAGCTCGGGGTAGATATTTGCATTATTAAGTAACTGTGCTCACAAATGTATGATGTCCCTGAGGTGAAAACGTGGCCTTCACTTCTCACGTTATTAGAGCAGGGCCAGGTGTGCGAGCTTCTGGGGGCACTGGCCAGGCCTGGCGTCGTCCCTGCCTTCTCATGCGAGGCCACACGCTGCAGGACTTAGGCCCTGAGAATGTCACCTGAGGTGCCAAGTTGTCACCTTCCTTTAGAAACCACCCCTTTGTGAAAACCACCCCTCCTGGGTATTGAGGCAGGAGCCATCAGAAATAGAGAGTGTGCTGCATTTAATGCACTGTGGCCTTAATTACTTGCGGGAAGTGAGAACGGCCCAGAGGTGTGCGGTGGGCAGAAGGTCTGCTCTGTTCCAGGTCCTTCTCTCCTGCCCATGTTAGGCTCACAGGAAAGACCTTTTAAAAGAAGGTGCACGAGGTGCCTCTGACACTGAGATGGGGGTCCTGACCCCTCTGTCCCCACACTGATGACACACCCCATTCCAGATTTAGGCCTCTGCCCTTTGTGAGTGGATGTGTAAACAGGCCCTTTGAAGTCACATGCAGGGTTCTGTACTGAAGACAGATGAGGGGGTCGGGGGTGTAGCTCAGTGGTAGAGCGTGTGCTTGGCGTGCACGAGGGCCTGGGTTCAATCCCCAGTGCCTCCATTAAGGGGGTAAAAAGACAGATGGATATTTTCTGGGGGGAAATTCCTTGCATGCATCAAAATGAGAATAAGAATCATGAATATTTACTGCTTGGGAGGCTCTGCCCCACCATGGATGAACATTTCTGCTCCTCCCTCCCGGAGATCCCTGGGGCCCTTGGCCCAGGCTGTGACCTGGAGCTGGAGGTTCGCTCCCAGACATCAGCCTGAATGACGGGAGGTGACAGTGCCTCCCCTCTGACTGTGCCTCCCCTGGGCCCTAACCTTACAGAAGTCACCCAAGGGCGTGGCCGCCGGCCAGTGTTGTGAGTGACAGTGAGGGCTGGCCGGTGGGCCTGGAACCCCACATAACTCACCGGCTTCTCAGTGGGAAATGTCGCCCCACCTCTGGAGCCTGACCTGTCCTAGGGTGACTAGCGTGTCCCACTCTGCCCAGGACTTTCCCAATTTTTAAACTGCAAGTCCTGCATCCCCAGAAACCTATCAGGTCTGGGCACACCAGGTGGATCGGTCTCCTCCCCTGTCCCCCTCGCCCTCCTGCCCATCTGCTTCCCTCGCTGTGGAGCCGCTGCTGTGGGTGATGGCTCAGGACGGTGGAAGTACCCCTTCCCCCGAGGGGAGGGCCAGGCAGACCCTGGGCTCAGACAGAAGAGTGACTGGGGGCTTCTGGGTGGCGTTCTAGAGAAGGGGCTGGACTTGGGTAGTGAGTGTGGCCAGGTGGGTGGGGAGGGGAGCGCTCCTCCAGTTGCTGCATTGAGGTGGTTAGGTATCCACGCAGGGGCGGGTGCAGGTGTGGGTGGCAGGGACGAGGACGCCGTCAGTCTGGGCTTTGTCCTGTGGGTGGTGGAAGCCCAGAGACTGAGCCCCGGCCTGAGGTCCTTGACATTTTCTCAGGGAGGCTCTCCTGGCCCCCCTCTGTCCCCCTGAAGCAGGGGCCCAAGCATCCCCAACCTTGAGATTTTCTCAGACTCCCATCTCCCATTCCTTGGGAGCATTTTGTGCTTTTGCTCCATCCCCTGGGCTCATTGAACATGTAAGACACCAGCCGAGGGGATCCTGGGATAGCCTGCCAGGTGGCCCTGCGAGGTCTGACCCCTGACCTTTCCCCTCTTCCCATCAGGATCCTGGTCACCAACAATCAGCTCTTCAGCAGTTCCTACGACCGGACAGCTCGCGCCTGGAATGTGGACAAGGGGCAGGTGTCCCAGGAGTTCCGGGGCCACCGCAACTGTGTGCTGACTTTAGCCTACTCGGCCCCCTGGGACCTCCCTGGGGCTCCCTGCATGGAGGAGGCCCTGGCCGGGGGGCTCCTGGTGACAGGCAGCACGGATGGCACGGCCAAGGTGTGGCAGGTGGCCAGTGGCTGCTGCCACCAGACGCTGCGGGGCCACACAGGTGCCGTGCTCTGCCTGGTGCTGGACACACCTAGCCATACGGCCTTCACTGGCAGCACTGATGCCACCATTCGAGCCTGGGACATCCTGAGTGGGGAGCAGCTGCGTGTGTTCCGGGAGCACCAGGGCTCCGTCATCTGTCTGGAGGTGAGACCTGCCTGGCCCCCGCCTGTCTGCCAGGGAGGCCCCGGGGTCATCCTCTGAGCTGCTGCCCCACCCCAGTGTACTAGTCAGCTCAGGCTGTGTAACAACACAGCCTCGGCAGCTTAAACAGCAGAGACTGATTGTCTCACAGTTCTGGAGGCTGAAGCCCAAGATCAAGGTGTCCTGAGGCCTCCCCTTGGTTGGTAGATGCTGTCTTCTCCCTGTGCAGCCAGATTTCCTCTTCTTATAAGGACACCAGTCATACTGCGTGAGGTTCCAGCCTAATGACGTCATTTTAACTTAATTACCTCTTTAAAGATCCTATTTCCAAATACAGTCACATTTGCAGATACCAGGATGAGGGCTGTTGTCAACACATGAATTTCGGTTTCCTTCCAGGTGAAGTGAGGATTATGTCTACCCACAACCCCATGGTCCATAATTCCTAAATCTAAAAGTTCCCCAAAATGAAGTTTTCTTAGGCTCAGCATCAAAACCCATTTGGTGGCAAAGCCTGGCCTGAACAGACTTGAGATGGTTGTAGTTCAGTTTCTCCCACTTCCTGGGGATATGAGTACCTTTGCTGTGGAAGTGTGAGTGTCTTCCTAAAATCCCCAAATCCTGGAACCCATCTGGCCCCGAGGTTTGGATTAGGGATACTGACGTGAAGCTGCACCCACCCCTGGGTGGTCGTGAGGGTTTAGTGAGTTAACAGCAGACACAGCGCCTGCTACAGAGCACGTTCTTGATGCCCGTCATCTGGGATGTTGCTGCTATTGAGCACCTAATGGATGTGCAGCCTGCATCTGCCCGGGCATGTCTGCTGGACACGGGCTCTCCCTCTATTTGGATGTTAGGATCTGGGTGTTCCTGGCCCCGGGCTTGGCCTGCTCTTCCCTTCTCCAGGTCAGTTCCCACACCTGGGATGAGCAGGTTGGGGTGCAGTGCTTGGTGGCACTGAGGTCTGGGGAACCACCAGTGAAGCAATGGAGATGGGCTCCAGGTGGCACGAAGCGGGGTGCAACGATCCCTGGGGAGTCAGGCCAGGAGGCCTGTTTTGGGTTCTGGGGGTGAAGGGCAGCCCTAGGGCCCCAGGACCAGTGGAGGAGAGAGAAGCTTCATTTCACTTGGACAGAGTGACCTCTGACCCCTGGTGCATTTTCTAATTCAAACCCTGCTTGAGGACATGGTGATGGAGAGGGTGGGGGGTGGGATTGAGCTGAGAGCTGGCCATCTGGTTTCTGATCTCGGGATTGGGGGAGCAGGGAGGGCCAAAGGCGGAGGACCACGGAGGCACCTGGGAGGCATCGTGCGTGATGGGAAGAGGTGTGCAGGGAGCAGTGGGGGCTGCATCCTGGGCAGGGCATGGAGGGACGGGCTCTGGGTTCCTGAAGAGGGGTCGGGGGTGGGGGGGTAGGTGTCTGGGCTCAGTCTTCTGGTACCAGCCAGGAGCAAGTCTGTCTCCCGTGTTGGATTTAGCCTTGAGGACAAGTGCCCAGTGCCCTGGGCAGCAGCAGGGAGCAAATGAGCTTGGGAGCAGAGCTGGTGGGAGCTTGGCCCTCTGCAGGGTGCTCAGGAGATGGTGGGAAGCACCAGGGCAAGGCCAGCTCCTGGGGTGGGGTGTTCCCAGGGTGGGGTGCTCCTGGGGTGGGGGTTCCTAGTGTGGGATGCCACAGGGTGGGGTTCTCAGGAGGGATGGGGGGCTCCCAGGGTGGAGTCAGTCTGGCACACCCCAGGGTCTGTGTGGGGTAGGTCCCAGTTGGAGTGAGGGGTGGGGTGGGAGAGGCATGTGGGGAGGTGGCCTTGCTGGACAGGGGAGTGGGACAGGATGAGGGTGGGCACAGTGGAGTGTGTGGGGGCCCCTGGGGGCAGAGGTGGAGGCAGGAGGGCCCACGCCACTGGCTTGGGCAGGGAGAGCACACCTAGTCGGAAGGGCCACGGGCACCATCATAAAGGCTGGTCCTAAAACAGAGTCTGAAGGGCCGGGCACAAGGCAGCCGCGCTCGATTCAGGAAACGCATGGTTATTTGGTTCGTTGGTTAGTTACTTAGTTAGCTATTAAGTCACAGCCGCTTCACCCCATGGTGGAGTTGAAGCAGAAAAGCCCCCAATTTCCAGAGTAGGGGATAAGGTTTTGCCTGACAGAGTCCAGGGCTACCATCTCTGTACCTGGCACCTTCCCAAGAAACAGAGGAGCTGCTGGTGCTCATCCAGGCTTCCTTTGCCTCATTTACTTATTTTTATTGAAATATAGTTGGTTTACAATGCTGAGTTAGTTTCTGGTGTACAGCATAGGGATTCAGTTGTACATATATATATCACTATAGGCTATTACAAAACATTGACTATAGTTCCCTGTGCTTTAATATGATGTCCCCTCACTGGGGAGGGGATGGGCCCACAGGGGCCATCTCCCCTCAGGAGCAGACCAGGGTGTGGAGGGTGTGGACAGGAGAGCTGCGTCCCTGTGGTCTGGATGCTCCATGAGTAGGTCTCCCTGTCACGTTTCCCCCGGTGCAAAATCAAATCTAGTTGTACCACGACTTGGGAGATGCGGGTGTGGGCAACCTTCGGCTGTGCTGGCTTTGCCCGCTTTCCAGAGTCCCTCCTCCCTATCACAGGGCCGGGGAAGGCTCCTTTCCCTCCTCTCCTGATCTGCCTCCTCGAACAGAAGGGCTCCCCCATGTCACCCCTGTGACCGGAACGTTTCAGGGCCACTGGCCACTCTCTCGGCCCCAGCCTGTGAGGCCCTGGCCATGCTGGGCTGTCACCGGGACCCTGCTGTCATCCCCAGGCTAAGCGTGAACCACAGCGCAGGGTCGGGGACATCCCTCGCTCACCTGCCCTTCTCCAAGCAGGCAGTGACCCTCAGTTCACAACTGCTTCCTTCCTCTGTCCCCTCCCTGCATGTCCACATGCAGGTTGAGCCACCTGAGACATGAAAATGATCTCTTCTTGGGGACCTTACAGAATCCTGACCCTCCCAGCGCAGCAAGGGGCAGGCTTCCTTCCCAGACGCCCTGCAGAGACAGACAGGGTTCCCGGGTGTCTGGAAAGCCTGGGAGCATCCTGGGCCCCCGAGATGGTTTTGTGAGCCCTGCGGCCTGGCCTCCAGCAGTGTTTTGGGGAGGAAGCACTCCTGCTTGCAGATGGAGAGCTGAGGCAGTCGTCTGCGGTTTCCTGTTGGGATGCGTGGGAGGCATCTCCTGGGATCCCCAGGGAGCCTGTTCCATGAAGCTGTAGTGTTGGCACTCTCCGTGGGAACCAGGCAGGCCCCTCTATGTGTTAAGATCAACTTGTGGGCTTCCTTTTCAGAGGTTGGTGAGAACAGAGGAAACTTACAGAGCAATACAACCTCCTATGTCCTGACTCCGAACCACAGCCCCGGGGGATGAGGTACCCACTGCAGCATCCTCCCGCCTCCTTGCGGTCCTGCACCCACGCTGAACCTTCTGAGAGCAGAGGCGAGGCCCAAGAGACCGGCCAAGCCCTGGGGGGCCTCTGCCTTCTCCCTTCATTGTGGGATGTGTATCCAGGGTCGAGCTCGCCAACTCCAGAGGGTTCCAGAAGCCTGGTTGGGGTAGAACCAGGAGGGCACAGGCCTCCTGTGGAGAAGATGGGCCAGATCAGAGGCAAGGGCTCACTTCTAAGTAACAAATTCAAGGTCAAGCTGACCACCGAGTGGGGCTGCTCCCTCCTCTGCTTCTCTTCAGAGGAGCTCCCAGGGTCTGGGCTCAACAGGTGGTCCTGGTGAAAAAAGAGAAGGTGGAGGCTCTTTCCTGTCCCTTCGTTTCTTTATGTTTGTGTTTTTAAAAAAAATTTTTAGTTATGAAACATTTCAAACATAAAGTATAGCAAACAGTAAAGCAGACGCGACTGTACCCACTTTTGAAATGAGATACGAACATTGTGTCATGCTTACTTCATATCTTTTTGAAGAAATAAACCTTTCAAATACAGCCAAAGCGGGGCAGGAAAGGCCCGGCCAGGCGTGGGCAGCCCGAGGTGTGGGGCCCACAGCCACCCGTAGGCGGCATCGTTTGGATGTTCTGGTCTTTTCCAGCAAAAGCACTGTCCTGCTGAACCAGGGGGGCTGGGGCAGATTGATGTTGCCCTTTAGGGCTGATTACTAGCTCCCGGGTGAGAGTAGGCTGTGTGCCTTATCAAATTTATTCTCCTTGCCACCTCCAAGGGAGATTGTTTTTCTGGTTTTGCACAAAAGAAGACGGAGGCTCGGAGCGGGTAAGCACCGTGTCCAGGGTCTCACAACTGGTGAGGGGCAGAGACAGAGTTTGAACCCAGGACTGAACATGTCACCTGTGTTTAACCTGCCGCTTTAAGGTGTGACGGGGCCCACTCCATGCTGAAGTTGGGAGCCTCTTCCGACAGGAGGCGGGACATTGGGCGCCCGGCCCCGCTCGTAGGCTGGCCTCCCCGCTTCTCGCCCGCTGCCCTGGCACATGGCCTGCTGTGAGCTGAGGGGAGGGCGAGGCCGGCACCCCTGGGGCCTCGGCCTGCCTGCCTCGTCCACCCTCTGCTTGGGTGGCTCCCGTGGCAGGGAGATGGTCCATGAGCCTGGTCCCCTCGGAGCTGCCTTGGCTGCTGGGAGCCCCGCAGGGCCCGGCCTTTGTGACTCGCTGTGTCCATCTGCCCTGAGCCTCTCTGGCCTCCTCGTGTCCTGTTAGGAGACCAGCCAGAGCGAGCAGTGAGTCCTCAGCCAGCCAAGGACAACATGCCTGGGCGTTTTCTCAGCCCCTAGGCTCAGGATTTGTACTTGGAAAGTGCGCTGCTTGGTGATTTCTCAGCATGGTGTGCCGGGCCTGCATTGCCAGGACACCCGCTGTGAGAGGGGCCCTCCTCCCTTTGCCTTGGTCGCTGTGGATGCTCAGTGCCTCCTTTATGGGGCCGAGCAGGCGTTCCACCGGGTTCTCAATCTCCTACGCTGGACTTACTGGCTTCCTTATTATAGGTCCGGGAGTCTCAGTGGGTAGTTTGGAAAGTGAGGTCACTGGAGGCCTGGGGCTGCCTCTGGGAGTGACAGTTGGTGCTGGTCGGGGGGACAGCCAGGAAACACTGGAGCCAGCAGTGACGGGCCTGAGGGGAGGATGCAGACACAGTGCTAGGGCAGCACAAGGATAAGGGGGCATCAGCAAGGAGGCACTTTCTGGGCTGAGAGGACTTGTAAGAAATGTGGGGCGGCCAGAGTCCGCCCAGGCTTCTTAGGAGACAGTGAGGGCACAGGTGAGCCTGGGGAAGTGGGGACACATCGAGGCTCCAGGCAGAGGGCTGAAAGAGCCCCAAAGCTGAGGGTGAGCGAGAGTGTGAAGCAGGTGCCCCTGCCTTCATCAGTGGCCCAGAACCAAGCTCCTGAGGGTGGTGCAGATGGCGAGAGGACTAGGTGATGTTCTGGACCCTGCTGGAGCCCTTGGGTGTGCGGACATCACACGCATCCCTGTCCTGGGGAGAGGACCGCCAGGCTCCATTGGCTGGGCCCATCGTAAACCCATTAGGGCTGTAGGGTGGGCCTAAGAGACGCAGGCCATGCCTGTCTCCCACTCGGTCCACAGGGGATCATCCGCAGCCTCTGCCTCCAGGAGGCCAGACACATGTTGTCCAAGATTACACCCCTCTGCCATAGCATTGGCCCAAGGCCATGTTTGACCTGTGCTGTGGCCGAGCTAGAAGGATATGCTGGGCCAGTCTGAGTCCTGTTCTCCGGGATTGTAACTGGGAATAATCTGGGGAAACAGAGTCAGCTGTGGGAACTGGAGTGGAAAGTGGCTGAGATGGGCCATGCGTGCTCGAGCTAGGAGAACACAAGATGTGTTAAGGATGCTGGTTCCAGGCCCACTGCCTGCTGCACCTGACGAAGGGCCTCATCTTGCCTAAGCCTCCTGCCGTCCCTGGGCCCCAGCAGTGCCAGGGATGGCTGTCTCCTAGGCTCGTAGCCAGCCCTCATCTTCCTGGGCCCTGCAACATGGGAGGATGCCTGGTGCCTTCAGCTAGACACCTGCAGCCGAGGACCCCACCTCGCCAGCCTTTGGTTCTCATCCGTGTTCTCAGTAACCAAAGGTGCTGTGCTGGCTGGGAGCTCTCAGGGCTGCACGGTGTTCTGTCTAGGGAAAGTTGCAGGATTATTTCAATAGTCTTTGGGCTTCCCTAGGGTTAGTACCCTGTTCTTGGCAAAGGGTGCTCCTGGGAGTGAGCCTCCCCAGGCCCTTCCCTTGCCTCCTGGGCCCTTTCCTTACCTCCTGCG